AAAAAAAAAAAAAAAATCGCAAACAACAACAGCCAAAAAGGAAGACGAACGATAGAACAAATTAATGCATGTGTGAATAAATAAATACTAATTAAAAAGAATTCGCCGGTACCAAGGGGACTGGAACCGAGTTTCTCAAATTTAATTCAATTCTAAAGCCTTCCCCTTCACAAGAAAAAAGAGATGAAAATAGAATAAACTAACAAAAACCACGGCCCACAAAAACCTCAATTAAAATGGCGGCTATATATATGACGTCCTGACCGATAGTTGTCAAAACCAGAAACACATTATGCGCAAAATGATCACATACGAGTAGAGTTTATTAGGTTTCTCCCTTGATCCAAGGGTTCCCCGTTTTTTCTACCTCCGCAAAAAACATAACACGCTAAAATACAATTCTATCTGTGAGTGCAACTTTTTCATGTTTTCTAAAGCGCTTCCAGCAAAGATTCCTAAATTCAAGAAAGCGCTTTACGTGTGAAATCCTATATTATCCTCGCTCCCAAATGAATTAGAAACTTGTGACTTTGATCAACCCAGAGATCGTTTTAGAGTATATATGAAATTTGAATGTTAAAGGGTAAATCAAATAGTAGATAAATAGATAAACCTGTATTTCATCAACTGTATTTATTCACAGGTATAGCTTTGTGCAAGGTCGTCAATTTTGTCGAAAAGGTTTCCATCACCGTTTCCTTCCTTCATCTCGGCGCCCTGGCYATCGATCGCTTCCTCGCTGTATTCTACCCATGCAAGTCAATGGTCTCTATCAGATCTTCTAAGATTACTGTAGCCATAATATGGGGCTTCTCTATCTGTTACTGGGGACCGATTCTCTACTTCGGGGGTCTCGGAGTAAAAGATGGACAAACGGTGTGTGCCGTCAGAGAGTTCACTCCCTACTGGGAATATTGGTACGTGTTGTTTCTTGTTCTTCTGTTCGCTACACTCGTGCTTATACTGGTGTTGTACTTGCTTGTGGCCTTCAAGCTGTGGCTCCGTAAGCTGCCTGGACACCAGATGTCTTCTATACTGAAAGGAGTGGATCGTTCCAAGAGGCGTATGGCACGGATGATTTCAATTATCGTTGCAGCTTTTTATATTTGCTTCTTACCCTACGGCATTGGCTGGATCTCGTGCTCGTATTTGGTCGTAAAACCCAAAGCAATATGCAACCCTGTTTACAAGTTTGTCAGTATTCTGGTCCTGCACTCCAACTGTTCCATCAATCCAATCATTTGCTTTTTGTTTAACTTACAGTATCGCTTGGAGTGGAAAATCTCATTGCAGGATCCACTCGGATTACACGTGAATTCAATGAGGAAAATTTACAGTCGGCGCAAGAGCTCAACGACAACAGATTTCATGATGGCTGTTGGTCAGAATAATTCTAAATGATTAAACAAAACACTGCCCATTGATAAAGTTGCCCTAAAATCGTATGAACACACATTAGTACACTTTCAACTACAGACTTTCTAGCTGACGAAATGCTTTATGGACAAGAAAAATATTTAGTTGACTGCATATGAAAGGTCTGTCCGTAATATAGGAGTTTCCAAAATGCAACATAAAGAAGGGACAAGAGAGAGAGATTCAGGTGCCCGTATACGAGGGATACCTGGCCGTAATACAGAGGTGTCCAAAAGGCATCACAGACAAGAAAGAGGATTAGGTGCCCGTATATGAGGGATACCTGGCCGTAATACAGAGGTGTCCAAAAGGCATCACAGACAAGAGAAAGGTCCAGATGACCTTATATGAGAGGTTTTTATATGAGAGGTGGTCAATAGAAAAACTTCACTRAACTTAAATTTGGGATGTAAAGCCGCCACTGGCCTTGTTTCTTTAAAATTGTTTTGTCTAAGTAAGGGATGTTAAAGAACCTGTTACACCGTATGTAGGAGTAAAGAATTTATGTAAGAGTAAAGAATCATTAATAACCAGTCTGGTCTTTTAGGAATCGATATTTGATATGGATCCTTGTTATAGTGGCATGGAACAATAGATGTTGCCATGTTTACTCTCGCTTTCAAGCGCTTCATGAGGAGTTGACCCAGACATCAAYAAAGGAGGGGTTTCACAGCAACCATAGGCCTTCTTTGAGTTCGATAAACAGGATGCAGTGTAGCTTCGGCACAAACAACACTCACATAAGGCAAGATGAACAAAAGATGCCTGTACCGAAGCTACTGTAGACCACAATGCACCATAATCGCTATCTCAGAAAATATCTATGACGTACGACAGGTAAAATCAATTACCCTTGTTTTTGCATGAAAAAACAATTTAATTTCTAGAAGGAAATAATCCTACCAGCTTGCTCTCAAGCATCACTGCCGTGAAATCCCTTTTTTTCCCCTAAGAAACATGGTCCGATGTGAAAAATGACTATACTCATCACTCAATTCATGGTTCCTCTCCCCTTAGTTACCGTTGCTATGTCCAAAGTCTCAATAAATTAGGTAGAATGCTTCGGAATTTAAAACTCTGATCGCGGAAAATTCCTTGTAATTTGCTTTTACTGTTTACTGTCCTTTGGAAATTAAAGAAAATTGCCTCAAAATCCTTGTAGTCACTCTTTTACAGATGCTAAGTAATTGTTTGTGGGACAAGATTTTAATTCAAATGGGGAAACTGCTGCAACGATGATTGGTTCCCTATTGTCTGAGGGGAAACCTTGAAAATAAGTGCCTTGATATCCCATTAGTGTAATCTATTGCATAACTAGTAAATTTTTGTTCTAAACGATGAATGTACTGTATGGAAACAAAGGCGCAATGGACCAAATCCACTTGGGCATAATGTTTTGCCCATTTCAGACCACGTGTCATCATTTCAGACCACGTGTCATCATGAGTCATTTCCATAAGAATGAAGATTCTTTGTTTGAGTTGTATCTATATTCATGTGTCTTCGCATGCGGAATCATTAAAAAAGAAATGATACTCTAGGGAATGACACGGATTAGTAGATTAGGTCTATTATAAGTAGCCCCTACAGTCCTCTACTCATAAAATTCATAAAATCATGAAATGTCATTAGTGGGAAGTACAAAAATGCACCCACGGAGTACTTATCAAAAGTGATGTGACAAGTGTTATAAAAGTGTTTGTGTTCTATAGAATGTTCTATATATTATAAAGGTCACTGAATCATGGACATGCACACCCTTTAGAAATTTTTACTGATGAAGTGTCGCTAGGTCTGTGGTTAAAAGATGTCCGAATTTCATAGAAATGTCCGTATTCTAGAGATGTCCGTATTTCAAACGAGTCTGATGAGTTTAAGAGGATTCCATGTTAAAAAAAACAATAAATATAAAAACCTGGTTCGCTTGAAAATAAAATCAGCAGGAAAATGTTTATTATCCAACAAAAATAGCATTGGTCGAGCGGAAAAGGTCGTAAAATCTCGCCCAGATGGATAGTTTTAAGTATTGATAGTATCTACTTGTCAAATGGTAAGAAAAAGAACCAATTAGATGATATCTACTTGGGTGATAAACTTTCTAGCAGAACGTTTCCAGATTGATTTTTTCAATTGCCTCGTAAAAAATAACTTACTTAACTGTCGTTCAGATGAATTAAAAACAACAACAACAACAACAACAACAACAACAACAACAACAACAACAAAAAAAACCAGCACAAATTGAAGTTATGGCAGTGGTATTCCTGACAATGAAAGCTAACAAAAAAACATCAATGTACTTAAGGCCCATTATATCAAAGCCAAGAAATATGTTATCTACGAGTAAAAACACTTTAAAACAAGTGTGGCGGAGTGTTTGAGCACTGGCCTCTCACCTCCGGAATCTCGGCTCCTCGGATTCCTGATCACGGCCTCCCATGAAGTGGAGTTTGTATTGATGGTTTTCAGTCACTCCCAAGAGAATTAAATAACACGACGGCCATGTTGGAGGGTATAACAAAAGAATTCATTGACAATTCTTTTGTTAAAGTCCTCCAACATCTAATGGTCGACGTGAAAACCATCAATAGTAGCCTGCGTAGCCAGGCGTTCCTTGTGGGTTTTGCCCCCCCCCCAAAACACAAGGAACGCCTGGCTACGCAGGCTATTAATAGGTTTCTCCCTTGATTCGAGGTTTTTTCTCTTGTTCTCTGGTTTTCCTCACTCCACAAAACCTAACCTAATTCCAATTTGATCTGTGGGTTAGCCATTTGACTTTGATCAGCCCAGAGGTTGTTTCAGGGTTCAATCTGTGAGTTAGGCGTACCCTGACTTAGATCAGCCCAGAGGTTGTTTCAGGTATCAATAAAATAGGTGTTTGTATAAAGCGACCGCTTATCTATAAATTATGATATCACTGAACATTCTGGCATATTATGAATATCTTAAGGGTCAGGAAGTCACCAACACGACAGGTGTAAGCATGACTTCGAAATCGTATTAATATAAACTGATGTTGTAAAACCTTTTTTAGCCAATCAGAAATAATGAATTTTAAGTGGCGCCTAATTATGTTTTATGCTCCGAAATAAACTACAGTCGCCTGAGAAAAGTGGTTGTGGGAAAATAAGTTAGATAAAAAAATTGAAGCAATACGAGAAATATATATCCTGATTACAGCGTCAGTTTTCATGAACCTTTCTTTCTCTCTCTTTTGCTAACGCTCTAGGATGCCAAAAATGATGACAAATTTGTCCATTTTCTCTGCACAAGCATCGAATTTTTCGGCTTCATCGTCACCATCGCTCAACAATGAAAGACCGATCCACAAAGCTTTCAAGACGTTAGCTTATGTCATAATCTTAGTAGTAGCTGTTATAGGCAACAGCTTTCTAATCATGGCTTACAGACGTAATGTTAGTGGACAGATGAGATCCATCTACAACCTTCTTGTAGCGAGTATAGCAGCCAGTGATCTACTACTTGCTGTTTGGAGCATCCCTGAGAGGATAACAAGAGTTCTGACTGACGATGCTTGGAAAATATATGGTGTATTAGGTGAGTAGGTTCGGTGTTCACATTATTAGCAAGTTGTGTAAGAGTAGAGCCACAATGGCATRTTTTTTTTCAGTAATTGAACTATCGACTCTCAGTGTTGAACTATTTGAGGTTCAAAACGACAACATCAGGACTCTCCCTATACCATTCAAATTCCCTTTTTCTTTATTCATTTTTAAGCAAAACTATCATCTATCTGACTCTTTCCTTATTACTCGTCCATAAGGAATACTGATAGTCCTTAATGACCTTATAAGCCAATCTTAAAACAATGATGAGTCTTTACAGAACAGTGATAATAGATGTAAATTGCCCATTTCAAACCACGTGATGTTTATATGATGTTCTCTGAACTAGACTTGATTTTTCATCGATTTGACTTGACTTGGTGTATATGTGAGCAAATTGCCTTAAAACCGGTACCAAAACAGGAGAGCATCACTAAAATTAAGAAATTTCTCTTGAAAATTAGACGGTTGTTTTGATTGTGTCAAAGCCTTTTCTGTTTAACGGGGCTTGAAAATTTTCTTCTATTCGCATGAATTTCACAAACGCGTGTAACAATTCCCGCCATTTTTGTTGGTAGACGAGCGTGCTTCTTCTCGCAACCTTTGAATGGTTATGATAAAAACCGCTATCTATTTTACCACAGGCTCATCCGGCTTTGCTTCCGGTGCTCGTGTTACTTGATCATTAATGGTTCGGCACCAACCGTTAAGGAATAGAATGGAATAGAATAGAATAAAAAACCGCCTACCATTATGAAACAAACATCATACCTAATAAAGATTGTTCCTTAATATATTTTTAAAAATTTTCATTTTTTTCAATAATTCCCCCGAAGACTGGGGGTCATACGATAAAAAAGGTCTTCTAAAAAGGTCGTGATATTTTCCCCAGAAGGCAGGAAGACCAGACCACGATCTTTTATAAAAATGAAATATTAAAACCTCCCTTCCTCTTCAACCGCCCCAAAAAAAGTACCTTCTAAAATCAATAAAAGCTGTCTTGTTATCTTTTAGTATCAATAGACACTTCACTAGTCATATTACTATCGATGGAAAAAGCGTTTTTTGCTGTGCAAACACGTCTGAAATAAATCCTGCTCTCCAATTGGTTTGCTACTATTGGTTTAACTATTAATGGTAGCTAATCAGTAGTAGAGGAAAAAACGTCGGCTCTGTGTGTCATAACAATGACAGTTTGTCTCGCCGCACTTCTTTAAAACCAGCGACTAGTTTTTTTAGACTAGCAATTGACTTCTTGTTTTCGGTCTGTTTGCCCGTTAACCAGTCCTTTAATATCGATGGGTAATGGATTATGCCGCTGGATATTTGGTGTTTTAGCGATTAAAAAACCCGTAATGGGCTAGATGATATTACTATTCCTTTTTTCTTTCCCGCAAATGTGACCACTTTTTTATCGTTTCAATTCACCTTTCCACGAAACGTCTCTCACAAGTATACTTTCTAGTTATTTATGTCCACTTCATGGGAGGATTTGTGCGATTCTTTTTTCACTAATTCTGACGTTTTTGATTTGTTTCGTTTGTCAACTGACATTTCACATATGCCTTAAACGAGATGCTTAAGAGTGGTTGTCAGCAAAAATCAGACATTTTGGCAAATCCGCGGCAAGGGTCGAAAATTTGATTTTGCTAATATTTTAAACTTAGGTTGGCCTTAGTGTAAGTAAAACCACTGTGTAGTTTGTTTGGTAAAATAGCGCTTAGTTTTCGAGAAAATCGAAGAAAAGAGTTTTGGACTAAATTCCCTAATTTTCGGCCGATAATTTACATCAACTTTAACAGCTTATCGCGACCAAACAAAGCAACCTAGCACTGTAATAAGACTAAATAGTAGTTAATTG